ACAGAAAGTGAGCAATATATCTTCATTGTTTGAATAAAATGGTACATTTAAAAGGAAAAACAATTCCAGATATTCGATCATCCCTGGTGGGATTCGAACCCACGGCCTTTGGATTAGAAGTCCAACGCGCTATCCACTGCGCTACAGGGACACAGCGTTCGATGCAGTCAGTACAGAAAGTGAGCAATATATCTTCATTGTTTGAATAAAATGGTACATTTAAAGGAAAAACAATCCAGATATTTCGATCATCCTGGTGGGATTCGAACCCACGGCCTTTGGAATAGAAGTCCAACGCGCTACAGGGACACAGCGTTCGAGGCAGTCAGTACAGAAAGTGAGCAATATATCTTCATTGTTTGAATAAAATGGTACATTTAAAGGAAAACATTCCAGATGTTCATCATCCCTGGTGGACGAACCCACGGCTTTGGATTAGAAGTCCAACGCGCTATCCACTGCGCTACAGGGACACAGCGTTCGAGTGCAGTCAGTACAGAAAGTGAGCAATATATCTTCATTGTTTGAATAAAATGGTACATTTAAAAGGAAAACATTTCCAGATATTCGTCATCCTGGTGGGATTCGAACCCACGGCCTTTGGATTAGAAGTCCAACGCGCTATCCACTGCGCTACAGGACACAGCGTTCGAGTGCAGTCAGTACAGAAAGTGAGCAATATATCTTCATTGTTTGAATAAAATGGTCATTTAAAGGAAAAACATTCCAGATATTCGATCACCTGGTGGGATTCGAACCCACGGCCTTTGGATTAGAAGTCAACGCGCTATCCACTGCGCTACAGGGACACAGCGTTCGAGTGCAGTCAGTACAGAAAGTGAGCAATATATCTTCATTGTTTGAATAAAATGTACATTTAAAAGGAAAAACATTCCAGATATTCGATCATCCTGGTGGGATTCGAACCCACGGCCTTTGGATTAGAAGTCCAACGCGCTATCCACTGCGCTACAGGGACACAGCGTTCGAGTGCAGTCAGTACAGAAAGTGAGCAATATATCTTCATTGTTTGAATAAAATGGTACATTTAAAAGGAAAAACATTCCAGATATTCGATCATCCCTGGTGGGATTCGAACCCACGGCCTTTGGATTAGAAGTCCAACGCGCTATCCACTGCGCTACAGGGACACAGCGTTCGAGTGCAGTCAGTACAGAAAGTGAGCAATATATCTTCATTGTTTGAATAAAATGGTACATTTAAAAAGGAAAAACATTCCAGATATTCGATCATCCCTGGTGGGATTCGAACCCACGGCCTTTGGATTAGAAGTCCAACGCGCTATCCACTGCGCTACAGGACACAGCGTTCGAGTGCAGTCAGTACAGAAAGTGAGCAATATATCTTCATTGTTTGAATAAAATGGTACATTTTAAAAGGAAAAACATTCCAGATATTCGATCATCCCTGGTGGGATTCGAACCCACGGCCTTTGGATTAGAAGTCCAACGCGCTATCCACTGCGCTACAGGGACACAGCGTTCGAGTGCAGTCAGTACAGAAAGTGAGCAATATATCTTCATTGTTTGAATAAAATGGTACATTTAAAAGGAAAAACATTCCAGATATTCGATCATCCCTGGTGGGATTCGAACCACGGCCTTTGGATTAGAAGTCCAACGCGCTATCCACTGCGCTACAGGGACACAGCGTTCGAGTGCAGTCAGTACAGAAAGTGAGCAATATATCTTCATTGTTTGAATAAAATGGTACATTTAAAAGGAAAAACATTCCCAGATATTCGATCATCCCTGGTGGGATTCGAACCCACGGCCTTTGGATTAGAAGTCCAACGCGCTATCCACTGCGCTACAGGGACACAGCGTTCGAGTGCAGTCAGTACAGAAAGTGAGCAATATATCTTCATTGTTTGAATAAAATGGTACATTTAAAAGGAAAACATTCCAGATATTCGATCATCCCTGGTGGGATTCGAACCCACGGCCTTTGGATTAGAAGTCCAACGCGCTATCCACTGCGCTACAGGGACACAGCGTTCGAGTGCAGTCAGTACAGAAAGTGAGCAATATATCTTCATTGTTTGAATAAAATGGTACATTTAAAAGGAAAAACATTCCAGATATTCGATCATCCTGGTGGGATTCGAACCCACGGCCTTTGGATTAGAAGTCCAACGCGCTATCCACTGCGCTACAGGGACACAGCGTTCGAGTGCAGTCAGTACAGAAAGTGAGCAATATATCTTCATTGTTTGAATAAAATGGTACATTTAAAAGGAAAAACATTTCCAGATATTCGATCATCCCTGGTGGGATTCGAACCCACGGCCTTTGGATTAGAAGTCCAACGCGCTATCCACTGCGCTACAGGGACACAGCGTTCGAGTGCAGTCAGTACAGAAAGTGAGCAATATATCTTCATTGTTTGAATAAAATGGTACATTTAAAAGGAAAAACATTCCAGATATTCGATCATCCCTGGTGGGATTCGAACCCACGGCCTTTGGATTAGAAGTCCAACGCGCTATCCACTGCGCTACAGGGACACAGCGTTCGAGTGCAGTCAGTACAGAAAGTGAGCAATATATCTTCATTGTTTGAATAAAATGGTACATTTAAAAGGAAAAACATTCCAGATATTCGATCATCCCTGGTGGGATTCGAACCCACGGCCTTTGGATTAGAAGTCCAACGCGCTATCCACTGCGCTACAGGGACACAGCGTTCGAGTGCAGTCAGTACAGAAAGTGAGCAATATATCTTCATTGTTTGAATAAAATGGTACATTTAAAAGGAAAAACATTCCAGATATTCGATCATCCCTGGTGGGATTCGAACCCACGGCCTTTGGATTAGAAGTCCAACGCGCTATCCACTGCGCTACAGGGACACAGCGTTCGAGTGCAGTCAGTACAGAAAGTGAGCAATATATCTTCATTGTTTGAATAAAATGGTACATTTAAAAGGAAAAACATTCCAGATATTCGATCATCCCTGGTGGGATTCGAACCCACGGCCTTTGGATTAGAAGTCCAACGCGCTATCCACTGCGCTACAGGGACACAGCGTTCGAGTGCAGTCAGTACAGAAAGTGAGCAATATATCTTCATTGTTTGAATAAAATGGTACATTTAAAAGGAAAAACATTCCAGATATTCGATCATCCCTGGTGGGATTCGAACCCACGGCCTTTGGATTAGAAGTCCAACGCGCTATCCACTGCGCTACAGGGACACAGCGTTCGAGTGCAGTCAGTACAGAAAGTGAGCAATATATCTTCATTGTTTGAATAAAATGGTACATTTAAAAGGAAAAACATTCCAGATATTCGATCATCCCTGGTGGGATTCGAACCCACGGCCTTTGGATTAGAAGTCCAACGCGCTATCCACTGCGCTACAGGGACACAGCGTTCGAGTGCAGTCAGTACAGAAAGTGAGCAATATATCTTCATTGTTTGAATAAAATGGTACATTTAAAAGGAAAAACATTCCAGATATTCGATCATCCCTGGTGGGATTCGAACCCACGGCCTTTGGATTAGAAGTCCAACGCGCTATCCACTGCGCTACAGGGACACAGCGTTCGAGTGCAGTCAGTACAGAAAGTGAGCAATATATCTTCATTGTTTGAATAAAATGGTACATTTAAAAGGAAAAACATTCCAGATATTCGATCATCCCTGGTGGGATTCGAACCCACGGCCTTTGGATTAGAAGTCCAACGCGCTATCCACTGCGCTACAGGGACACAGCGTTCGAGTGCAGTCAGTACAGAAAGTGAGCAATATATCTTCATTGTTTGAATAAAATGGTACATTTAAAAGGAAAAACAATTCCAGATATTCGATCATCCCTGGTGGGATTCGAACCCACGGCCTTTGGATTAGAAGTCCAACGCGCTATCCACTGCGCTACAGGGACACAGCGTTCGAGTGCAGTCAGTACAGAAAGTGAGCAATATATCTTCATTGTTTGAATAAAATGGTACATTTAAAAGGAAAAACATTCCAGATATTCGATCATCCCTGGTGGGATTCGAACCCACGGCCTTTGGATTAGAAGTCCAACGCGCTATCCACTGCGCTACAGGGACACAGCGTTCGAGTGCAGTCAGTACAGAAAGTGAGCAATATATCTTCATTGTTTGAATAAAATGGTACATTTAAAAGGAAAAACATTCCAGATATTCGATCATCCCTGGTGGGATTCGAACCCACGGCCTTTGGATTAGAAGTCCAACGCGCTATCCACTGCGCTACAGGGACACAGCGTTCGAGTGCAGTCAGTACAGAAAGTGAGCAATATATCTTCATTGTTTGAATAAAATGGTACATTTAAAAGGAAAAACAATTCCAGATATTCGATCATCCCTGGTGGGATTCGAACCCACGGCCTTTGGATTAGAAGTCCAACGCGCTATCCACTGCGCTACAGGGACACAGCGTTCGAGTGCAGTCAGTACAGAAAGTGAGCAATATATCTTCATTGTTTGAATAAAATGGTACATTTAAAAGGAAAAACATTCCAGATATTCGATCATCCCTGGTGGGATTCGAACCCACGGCCTTTGGATTAGAAGTCCAACGCGCTATCCACTGCGCTACAGGGACACAGCGTTCGAGTGCAGTCAGTACAGAAAGTGAGCAATATATCTTCATTGTTTGAATAAAATGGTACATTTAAAAGGAAAAACATTCCAGATATTCGATCATCCCTGGTGGGATTCGAACCCACGGCCTTTGGATTAGAAGTCCAACGCGCTATCCACTGCGCTACAGGGACACAGCGTTCGAGTGCAGTCAGTACAGAAAGTGAGCAATATATCTTCATTGTTTGAATAAAATGGTACATTTAAAAGGAAAAACATTCCAGATATTCGATCATCCCTGGTGGGATTCGAACCCACGGCCTTTGGATTAGAAGTCCAACGCGCTATCCACTGCGCTACAGGGACACAGCGTTCGAGTGCAGTCAGTACAGAAAGTGAGCAATATATCTTCATTGTTTGAATAAAATGGTACATTTAAAAGGAAAAACAATTCCAGATATTCGATCATCCCTGGTGGGATTCGAACCCACGGCCTTTGGATTAGAAGTCCAACGCGCTATCCACTGCGCTACAGGGACACAGCGTTCGAGTGCAGTCAGTACAGAAAGTGAGCAATATATCTTCATTGTTTGAATAAAATGGTACATTTAAAAGGAAAAACATTCCAGATATTCGATCATCCCTGGTGGGATTCGAACCCACGGCCTTTGGATTAGAAGTCCAACGCGCTATCCACTGCGCTACAGGGACACAGCGTTCGAGTGCAGTCAGTACAGAAAGTGAGCAATATATCTTCATTGTTTGAATAAAATGGTACATTTAAAAGGAAAAACAATTCCAGATATTCGATCATCCCTGGTGGGATTCGAACCCACGGCCTTTGGATTAGAAGTCCAACGCGCTATCCACTGCGCTACAGGGACACAGCGTTCGAGTGCAGT